AGAGTAGAGTAGAGTAGTGTGAAGAGTAGAGTAGAGTAGAGTAGGGTAGAGTAGAGTAGAGTAGAATAGAGTAGGGTAGAGTAGAGTAGAGTAGAGTAGGGTAGAGTAGAGTAGAGTAGAGTAGAGTAGAGTAGAGTAGAGTAGACTAGAGTAGAGTAGAGTAGAGTAGAGTAGGGTAGAGTAGAGTAGAGTAGGGTAGGGTAGAGTAGGGTAGGGTAGAGTAGAGTAGAGTAGAGTAGGGTAGGGTAGAGTAGAGTAGAGTAGAGTAGTGAAGAGTAGAGTAGAGTAGAGTAGGGTAGAGTAGAGTAGAGTAGAATAGAGTAGGGTAGAGTAGAGTAGAGTAGAGTAGGGTAGAGTAGAGTAGAGTAGAGTAGAGTAGAGTAGAGTAGAGTAGAGTAGAGTAGAGTAGGGTAGAGTAGAGTAGGTGGAAACAGGGCTAAACACGAGCCCATTCTTAATAATTGTACATAAAAGCAGAAGTGAAGAGGAATTAAATAAGTTTAACATAGAATGGTATAGTTTAGTATGGTTTAGAATGGTTTAGAATAACTCATTAGAGAGTAGAATAGTTGAGTAAGGAAAAGTATAGTCTCTAGAGAACAGTACAGAACATAGAGCTCATGTGTGAGGGTTACAAACAGAACACTCCACTCGTCCTCGTTCTCCTTACGTTCTAAAGATAGCAGCTGCGGCTGTATAATGTGGACACGTCTGTATCCTCTCAGGGCTTGAGCTGCGTTCATTAAGTCTCTGTGACGACAGCCGGGGTTTCCTCTCATTCAGACGGATTCAGTTCATCAGAGAGAGACCAGAGAGAGACCAGAGAGAGCAGAGAGAGACCAGAGAGAGACCAGAGAGAGACCAGAGAGAGACCAGAGAGAGACCAGAGAGAGCAGAGAGAGAGAGCAGAGAGAGAGCAGAGAGAGACCAGAGAGAGAGCAGAGAGACCAGAGAGAGAGCAGAGAGAGACCAGACAGAGACCAGAGAGAGAGCAGAGAGACCAGAGAGAGAGCAGAGAGAGACCAGAGAGAGACCAGAGAGAGACCAGAGAGAGAGCAGAGAGAGAGCAGAGAGAGACCAGAGAGAGCAGAGAGAGAGCAGAACAAGACCAGATAGAGACTAGAGAGAGAGAAGAGAGAGACCAGTGAGACCAGAGAGAGAGCAGATAGAGACTAGAGAGAGAGCAGAGAGAGACCAGAGAGAGACCAGAGAGAGACCAGAGAGAGACCAGAGAGAGAGCAGAGAGAGAGCAGAGAGAGACCAGAGAGAGACCAGAGAGAGAGCAGAGAGAGAGCAGAGAGATACCAGAGAGAGACCAGAGAGACCAGAGAGAGATCAGAGAGAGAGCAGAACGAGACCAGAGAAAGAGACCAGAGAGAGACTAGAGAGGGACTAGAGTGCACTGTGCACTATGAGAACCATTGAAAGATAAAGTAAGACAAAACTCACTGGACTCTAACGGAGGGTGCGACGTGTCTGGGATTCTGGGGATATCACTGCAGGAGAGAAAACAGAAAAGATACCGTCTGATTCCAAAACGTCACAACATGAGACCCAAGGTTCCAGAAGATTTACCAAGAACAACAGGAAGAGGAAAAGTGTAGAACAGTGGCTTATGTTACTGTGTGTAACATGTAGGTGACACTGAATATCTTCAAGAATAAAGACTTAATGGGGACTTGTGCTAGGAGGAGCATTGGGTGGCAGCTCTCATTGCCACCCCCCAACCCAGAAATTGATTAAAAAGGGGTTGAAAAAGAAAGAAGAATTAATGAATGAATAAAGCCTTAATGCGAAAGAAGCAGTTTTGAACATGAGCTCCCTGGAGCCTTCCCTTATTAGCATTGTCCAACAGTATATGTTAGCATTGTCCATCTGTATACAGTCTGTGTTATGGTGCTTTCAGACTGGATCATGATGCGTCGGGTTTCAATGCAAAGTCTAAGGTGACGCGCGTTCGACCGTCACAACGCACAGACCGCTCGGTTCGCACAAACGGACTGTTCAGTCGAGACGCACGGACTTGGCGGGAAAGTGAAAAGGGAGGAGCAGGAGCGAAAAATGGACGCCCACAGGAGATGGATTCTGCTCATCCTTTCCCTTGGACGTTCGTGCGACAACCAATCAGAGAGCAGCAAAGTGGTCACGGGGACATTAGCGGACTGAGAGAGCAGACTGAAAATACTGTAAACAGCCAAAACAGGACCCACACCAGACTTCACCAGAACTCAAACCAGCGCTGACAATGGGGGACTCTGTGATTGTGAAACTATACGTTGTCATGCTCCTGTGACCTTATGCAACTGCTTCGAGTGTGTTCACCGATGCGGAAATTACGTTTAATAATATGAAAAAACGTATGGTGCACCTCCGTGAACACATACTGCTGTTACATAAAGTCACCTCCGTGAACACATACTGCTGTTATATAAAGTCACCTCCGTGAACACATACTGCTGTTATATAAAGTCACCTCCGTGAACACATACTACTGTTATATAAAGTCACCTCGGTGAACACATACTACTGTTATATAAAGTCACCTCGGTGAACACATACTGCTGTTATATAAAGTCACCTCCGTGAACACATACTGCTGTTATATAAAGTCACTGTGAACACATACTACTGTTATATAAAGTCACCTCGGTGAACACATACTGCTGTTATATAAAGTCACCTCGGTGAACACATACTGCTGTTATATAAAGTCACCTCGGTGAACACATACTGCTGTTATATAAAGTCACCTCGGTGAACACATACTGCTGTTATATAAAGTCACCTCCGTGAACACATACTACTGTTATATAAAGTCACCTCCGTGAACACATACTACTGTTATATAAAGTCACCTCGGTGAACACATACTACTGTTATGACCCACAAGCAGCGTTTCCGTCGAATTGTTATTCACGCGGGTGGTAATGACGTTCGGCGGAAACAGTCCGAGGTGTTGAAGCTGCAAGTCGCCGCCGTGTGCAAGCTGGCTAGCACAATGGCCGACACTGTCATCTTCTCTGGGCCCCTACCTAGCACTAGCAGTGCAGAAGCATTCAGCAGACACTCGGCTTTCAACCGCTGGCTGTCTGGCTGGTGCCCTCGAAGTGGTGTTGTTCATGTTGACAATTGGAGTGCCTTTTGGGGAAAGCCCGGTCTCGTCCGCTCGGATGATATCCACCCAACGTTGGCGGGTACATCCCTTTTGGCTAAGAATTTGGCCCTGGCTCTAAACTGTTCTGCCCGGCTCAAATGACGGTGCAGAACTGAGGCCCGGGTGCAGAGCTGCTCTGCCACAACCTCTGAGCCACCATCTGTTCAGTTACTAGCCTCAGAAGCTAGTCAGATTGAAACTGTGTGTGTGTGTCTGTATGCCTGTGTATGCTCAGTTACTAGCCTCAGAACCTAGTCAGATTGAAACTGTGAGTGTTCCTCGCTTGAAGTCTAAAGCACTATATGAGGAAATCTGACCTGGGTGTCAGACACAGTAACTTAATAAAAGTTCAGACAGACAGAAATAGTTCTAACAGTAGGGTTGTTAAATGTGGTTTAATGAACGTCAGATCAATCTCGTCTAAATCTCTTCTCATAAACGAACTTATTATAGACAAGGGCTTGGATCTGTTTGCGCTCTCGGAGACTTGGCTCCAACAGGACGACTACGTTAGATTGAATGAGTGCACTCCTCCAACGCATGTTAACTACCAGAAAGCCAGAGCTACAGGTCGCGGCGGTGGTGTTGCGATTATATCACACACCAACTTGGTTCTTAGTCCCAAAACCAACAATGCTTTTCACTCGTTTGAAAACTTAACACTTTCAATCACCTGTCCTGGGTGGAGAAAACAAAAAGCAGTACTATTTATAGTTTTATACCGACCTCCTGGTCCTTACAGCGAGTTCCTAACAGAATTCTCTGACTTCATTTCAAACCTAGTTTTGGAATGGGAAAACATAGTTATAGCTGGAGACTTCAATATACATGTGGACGACAGCACTGACAGCTTAAACAAAGCTTTCAGCGCCGTACTAGATGGTGTTGGTTTTACTCATAATGTCGAGGAACCTACTCACATTCATAACCACACCTTGGACCTTGTCCTGACCTACGGCTGTGATGTCTCCAATGTTGACATCCAGCGTCAAAGCTCGTTGCTGTCTGACCATTTCTTGATCACGTTTGATCTCGATTTGGAGGACTTTCCTGTCCCGCAAGATAAAACCATAATGAAAAGAACCTTAAATGATAAATCTATCACAAGGTTCAAAGAACTAATACAGCCTATGTTGAATACTGCTGCAGGTGAACCTGTTCACAGCAGCTGCAGTCCCTCAGTCATTGACCAAACGGTGGGCAACACTATGGAGTCTTTAAAATCTGCATTAAATGCAGCAGCTCCTTTAAAACAGAAAACCATTAGGATTAGATCATCGTCGCCCTGGTACAGTGTTCAACTCCACACTTTAAAACAGGACGTCAGAAAATTGGAGAGGCTATATCGCCACTCCCACTCGGAGCCTGTCCACAGGGAGTGGAAAGCAGGTCTCCGAAACTACAAGAAGGCCCTTCGCGGGGCTCGAACTCAATACTATTCAACTTTAATAGAAGCCAATAAAAATAACAGTAGATTTTTGTTTAGCACCGTCGCTAAACTCACAAACTGCCATAGCGCAATCGAGCCTAAAATTCCAAGCTCACTGAGCAGTGTCGACTTTCTCCACTTCTTTAATAATAAAATTACATCCATCCGTGACAAGCTGGAGGAGGTTGCTCCTGCTGTTGGTAGTGGACAGGCTGAAGCGGCATACGTGACTTCCCACTTAGACTCTTCAGTGGGCCTTAATAAATTCATGGCTGTGAGCCAAGCAGAGGTGATCTCTGTGGTCACGACCTCAAAAGCCTCAACTTGCATGTTAGACGCAGTCCCGACATGGCTCTTCAAAGACATACTTCCTTTGATAATTGAGCCTATCGTAAATATAATAAACGCATCCATACAATGTGGCTATGTCCCACAAGCTTTTAAAACCGCGGTTATCAAACCCCTTCTGAAGAAAACAAACCTGGACCCAGAAATACTTACAAACTACAGACCGATCTCAAACCTCACTTTTATATCTAAAATCCTGGAAAAACTTATAGCTGAGCAGCTTTGCTGCCACCTGCAGGAAAATAATATGTTTGAAGTCTTTCAATCAGGATTCAGAGCTCATCATAGCACTGAAACGGCACTAGTCAAAGTCACAAATGACTTACTACTAGCTGCCGATAATGGACAAGTGTCAGTGCTGGTCCTACTGGACCTTAGTGCTGCATTTGACACAATAGACCACAGCATTCTACTGCAGAGGCTAGAATGTGATATAGGTCTGAGAGGAACAGCCCTTGGCTGGTTTAAATCCTATTTATCAGATCGATATCACTTCGTCAATGTGAATCAGGACTCGTCGCTTTATTCTGGAGTAGAATTCGGTGTGCCGCAGGGTTCGGTACTCGGACCGATTCTTTTTACTCTCTACATGCTGCCATTAGGAAACATTATTAAAAAGCATGGAATTAATTTCCACTGCTATGCAGATGACACACAGCTTTGTCGATGAAGCCAAAGCAGACAGATCAGCTGGAAAAGCTCAGTGCCTGCATAAAGGACCTTAAAATGTGGATGACTCTTAACTTCCTACTTCTCAACCCGGAGAAGACAGAAGTGATCCTACTCGGTCCGAAGCGCCTGCGTGACTCCCTCACTAACCAGATGGTTACTCTCGATAATGTCAGTATTGTACCCAGTAACACTGTGAGGAATCTTGGAGTCATTTTTGACCAAGAACTCTCCTTCAAGGCTTATATAAGCCAAGCAACTAAAACGGCGTACTTCCACTTACGGAACATCGCTAAAATTAGGAATTTCCTTCCTAAAAGTGACGCGGAAAAACTCATTAATGCGTTTGTCACCTCAAGACTCGACTACTGTAACGCTTTATTGGCAGCGTGCCCTAAAGCCTCTTTGAAGAGCTTCCAGCTCGTTCAGAATACAGCAGCTAGGATCTTAACAGGTACCAAAAGGAGGGAGCACATAACTCCGGTGTTAAAATCACTCCACTGGCTCCCTGTGGAGTACAGAATAAAGTTTAAAATCCTACTCTTAACATATAAAGCCATAAATGGCTTGGCTCCCTCTTATCTCCAAGACACGTTAGTGTCGTATCAACCAAGTCGAGCGTTGCGCTCACAAAACGCCAGACGTCTGGTGGTCCCTAAGGTCTCAAAGGTCACTGTTGGTGGCAGAGCATTTAGCTACCAAGCTCCTTTACTGTGGAATCAGCTTCCCATTTACGTTAAGGAAGCAGATACGGTCTCCACATTCAAGGCCAGGCTTAAAGCACTTTACTTTAATTTAGCATATAATTAGGTAATATATAATATATGGTGTATATATTATATATGTATGCTGTATTATGTTATATATTATGTTATATATTATACAATAATGTATTGTGTTATGTTGTATATTATGTTATATATTATGCTGTATGTTATGTTGTGTATTATTTATGATATATATAGTATGTATGGTATATGTGATGTATATGATATATAATATATAATTAGGTTTGCTTGGATCGGTTTGCACACCTGGTGTGCAATCCATGAATCTCTTTATTCAAGGCTAGGTTTAAAACAGTCCTCTTTAGTTTAGCATATGGTTAGGAAGGTAAGACTCGGAGAAGGTTAAACTCCTCAGACTGTCAGTCAAGCTGCATAGGGAGCCCCCTGCTGGAGAAGTATGGTAACTTGAGCACTATCCTCTCCTCCTTCCTACTTTATCTACTTTATCTGTTTAGCACTTTTAGGATTCTGACTGTAGTTTGTTCATTGCTATTCACCCGTTGTCCCATTGTCTGTTTCATGGTACGATGACGGGATCTCTGAGCCTGGCCTCCTCCATCTACACCTGCGGACTGCCCCGCCCGACCCGCCTGGGAGTGCTTCAGTCCTGCACCGGACCTGTCCACGTTCAGCGGCCACTGGTCCACGTTCTGTAGCTAGCTTAGGTCCTGGATCATTAGCCTGTCCGTCCGGAGGAGCGGATCCCTTTCTCATATGGGTCTCCCTCCCTGTGGGTTTCCCTAGTGCTCCCCAAGGTTTCTCACTTTTTCCCACTGGGTTTTTTAAGAGTTTTTCCTTGTGGATGCAGGAGGGTCTTGTTGGACAGTTAGTGTCCAACAGAAAGGATTGGTGATGATCAGGACACTTTAGCATTCTACAACATGTATGGACATTTTCTTCTGTGTGTGCTTTATATTCTCCATGTGTTTTAACTGTTGATTCTCTGACCTGTGTTGGTGATTTCAATGGTTTTGTTAAGTCCTCTGAGATGACTTCTGTTGTGACCTAGGGCTATACAAGAATAAATTGTATTGTATTGTATTGTATATAAAGTCACCTCGGTGAACACATACTACTGTTATATAAAGTCACCTCCGTGAACACATACGGCTGTTATATAAAGTCACTGTGAACACATACGGCTGTTATATAAAGTCACCTCCGTGAACACATACTGCTGTTATATAAAGTCACCTCCGTGAACACATACTGCTGTTATATAAAGTCACCTCTGTGAACACATACTACTGTTATATAAAGTCACCTCCGTGAACACATACTACTGTTATATAAAGTCACCTCCGTGAACACATACTACTGTTATATAAAGTCACCGTGAAGACATACTGCTGTTATATAAAGTCACCTCCGTGAACACATACTGCTGTTATATAAAGTCACCTCCGTGAACACATACTGCTGTTATATAAAGTCACCTCCGTGAACACATACTGCTGTTATATAAAGTCACCGTGAACACATACTGCTGTTATATAAAGTCACCTCCGTGAACACATACTGCTGTTATATAAAGTCACCTCCGTGAACACATACTACTGTTATATAAAGTCACCTCCGTGAACACATACTACTGTTATATAAAGTCACCTCCGTGAACACATACTGCTGTTATATAAAGTCACCTCCGTGAACACATACTACTGTTATATAAATTCACCTCCGTGAACACATACTGCTGTTATATAAAGTCACCTCCGTGAACACATACTGCTGTTATATAAAGTCACCGTGAACACATACTGCTGTTATATAAAGTCACCTCCGTGAACACATACTGCTGTTATATAAAGTCACCTCCGTGAACACATACTGCTGTTATATAAAGTCACCGTGAACACATACTGCTGTTATATAAAGTCACCTCCGTGAACACATACTGCTGTTATATAAAGTCACCTCCGTGAACACATACTGCTGTTATATAAAGTCACCCCCGTGAACACATACTACTGTTATATAAAGTCACCTCCGTGAACACATACTGCTGTTATATAAAGTCACCTCCGTGAACACATACTGCTGTTATATAAAGTCACCTCCGTGAACACATACTGCTGTTATATAAAGCCCGTGGAAAGTCTCTGTTCAAAGACACGCTGCAAAGCTGCATATTGGAGAAGATCTGTACACAAGAAGCCGCTAGCATAGCTCTGTTAGCATCAGAGCCGGCTACTTCCGGTACTTCCGGCTCTCGTCAGGACGTTCTGGTGTGAAGTCCTCTGCGTCTGAAAACTAGAGAATGCGCGTCTGGTGAACGGGGCTTCAGCGTTTCAGCGTTGGCGGTCTGAAAGCACCATTAGACTACTGTCTACAGATGGAAAAAACAAAATGTTCTCTGCTGGAGCGGAGACTGACCCGATGGGCCGGGACACCAGCAGCTCCACTTGTGGCTCAGCCTGAGACTCCAGGATGATGTTGTAGACCTCCTTCATGGTGGCTCCAGGCAGCAGCTTCCCGTTCCACTGCAGGACCTCGTCTCCTGCAGGCATCGAAAGAGTTAGAAAGCGTTAGAAAGAGAAACACTCATCATCATTCAAACGGAGAAAGTAAACATAAGCAAACAAAATCAAAATACATATAAAAAAGTTCTTCCAAATGTGTCCGCTTCTCCCAAAGAATTGTGGACCCCAGAGAGAGACCAGAGAGAGACCAGAGAGACCATAGAAAGACCAGTGAGCGATCAGAGAGAGAACAGCGGGTGATCAGAGAGAGAGCCCAGAGGGAGAGAGTGAGACAGGAGTTAGACCTGAGCACCATGGCAGCTGTGGTACCTGCTCGGAGGTGTCCCACCACGTCGGCCAGACTCCCCTTCTTCACTTTGGTGATGAAAGCTCCTAGCCTGCCACTCTCTGTTACTCTGCCCCCCACCACCTGCGACACATGGACAGGCAGCATTAGAAACACAGCTGCAAGATTATGACTAGTAATATTCCAGGATGGACTGCTGGCTTCAGACTAACATGTCTCATCAGATCATTCGACTTTATCGCTTTCACTGCTGCAATATCTGAAAACACTGTACTAGTTTTTGAATGTGTTTATATTTCGGTGTCATGTGTTTGGTTTTTGGTCTGATTTGTTGTATCGTATGTCTATAAAGCACAAAGAGACCAGAGAAAGAGAGCAGATAGAGAGTAGAGAGAGAACAGAGAGAGAAAGAGCAGATAGAGACCAGAGAGAAAACAGATAGACCAAAGAGACCAGAGAGAGAAATCAGATCAAGAGTAGAGCGAGACCAGAAAGAGAGCAGAGAGAGAACAGATAGAGACCAGAGACCAGAGAGAGAGCAGAGAGAGACCAGAGAGAGACCAGAGAGAGACCAGAGAGAGAGCAGAGAGAGACCAGAGAGAGACCAGAGAGAGACCAGAGAGAGACCAGAGAGAGACCAGAGAGAGACCAGAGAGAGAGCAGAGAGAGACCAGAGAGAGACCAGAGAGAGACCAGAGAGAGACCAGAGAGAGACCAGAGAGAGACCAGAGAGAGACCAGAGAGAGAGCAGAGAGAGACCAGAGAGAGACCAGAGAGAGACCAGAGAGAGACCAGAGAGAGAGCAGAGAGAGACCAGAGAGAGACCAGAGAGAGAGCAGAGAGAGACCAGAGAGAGACCAGAGAGAGACCAGAGAGAGACCAGAGAGAGAACAGAGAGAGACCAGAGAGAGAGCAGAGAGAGACCAGAGAGAGACCAGAGAGAGACCAGAGAGAGAACAGAGAGAGACCAGAGAGAGACCAGAGAGAGAACAGAGAGACCAGAGAGAGACCAGAGAGAGAACAGAGAGAGACCAGAGAGAGACCAGAGAGAGACCAGAGAGAGAACAGAGAGAGAACAGAGAGAGACCAGAGAGAGAACAGAGAGAGACCAGAGAGAGACCAGAGAGAGACCAGAGAGAGACCAGAGAGAGACCAGAGAGAGACCAGCGAGAGAGACCTCTGTGCTGCTGTGCTGTACACAGGGTGTGCAGTATTGTATGTTTTGTGCTTTGTGGTGTTTGTATAAAGTATGTGTACCCCTGTCCTAAGGTCTTCTGCCGGAGAGACTAAAGTATTATAGCAGTACAATAAAGTAAGACTAAATGTAGATCCTAAAGCCGGGGTACATATGTAGCACCGTCCTCACCTTGAGCCCCAGCAGAGCGCCCGCCTCTTTGGGCAGAGTGGCGCTCCTCTTGCTCAGCGTGATGCGGCCAATCAGATGGTCTCCTTCTTTAGACGGCTGCCAATTCATCGGGTGCTGGAACCGGTGCATTGTGGGAAAAACAAAATTGACTCTGTTACTACGACAGAGATGCTTTCTTTGTCAAATCAAGCTACCAGAGAGAGAAACCAGAGAGAAAGACCAGAGAGAGAGAAACCAGAGAGAGAGACCAGAGAGAAAGACCAGAGAGAAAGACCAGAGAGAGAGGCCAGAGAGAGAGACCAGAGAGAGAGGCCAGAGAGAAAGACCAGAGAGAGAGAGACCAGAGAAAGACCAGAGAGAGAAACCAGAGAGAAAGACCAGAGAGAGAGGCCAGAGAGAGAGGCCAGAGAGAGACCAGAGAGAGAGAGACCAGAGAAAGACCAGAGAGAGAGACCAGAGAGAGAGACCAGAGAGAGAGACCAGAGAGAAAGACCAGAGAGAAAGACCAGAGAGAGAGACCAGAGAGAAAGACCAGAGAGAAAGACCAGAGAGAGAGAAACCAGAGAGAGAGACCAGAGAGAAAGACCAGAGAGAGAGACCAGAGAGAAAGACCAGAGAGAGAGAAACCAGAGAGAGAGACCAGAGAGAGAAACCAGAGAGAAAGACCAGAGAGAGAGGCCAGAGAGAGAGACCAGAGAGAGACCAGAGAGAGAGAGACCAGAGAGAGAGACCAGAGAGAAAGACCAGAGATAGAGAGACCAGAGAGAAAGACCAGAGAGAGAGAAACCAGAGAGAGAGACCAGAGAGAGAAACCAGAGAGAAAGACCAGAGAGAGAGAAACCAGGGAGAGGGACCAGAGAGAGAAACCCGAGAGAAAGACCAGAGAGAGAGACCAGAGAGAAAGACCAGAGAGAGAGAAACCAGAGAGAGAGACCAGAGAGAAAGACCAGAGAGAGAGAAACCAGAGAGAGAGACCAGAGAGAGAAACCAGAGAGAAAGACCAGAGAGAGAGGCCAGAGAGAGAGACCAGAGAGAGAGACCAGAGAGAGAAACCAGAGAGAAAGACCAGAGAGAGAGACCACAGAGAAAGACCAAAGAGAGAGGCCAAAGAGAGAGACCAGAGAGAAATATCAAAGAGAGAAAGACCAGAACTGACCCACTGCTATATACAGTAGCTTTTATTTTGACATCAGAAAAGAGGTACGTCCTGAGAATGTTCTGGACTAAAGTGTGTTTCATTCTTTTCAAGCAGCGAATACAAAATAAAATAAAAACCCTGTTACATCACATTGTTGCAGAGTAAAAAAAAAACAGGTGAAAGTGTGGACTTACGTGCCAAGCAGTGGGGTCATGCGGGTAACACTCCCAGTCCCCTGCAACAGAAACTCAGGGTCAGAGGTCAGACTTTTAAAACACTGTACTTTATCAATATATCAGCACACGGCTTCTTTAGAGACTCTCTGACCCTACACCTCTCTCCCATCACTGTTGTAATTCATCTGGTGAGTTAGTTGTTGGTCTTCTCTGGACGGTACAAGCCTCCAGCGTGCACCGGAAAACACCCCAGAAGGTCAAATAAAAAAGCTGGTTCCTCTGGTGTCGTGTTGTGTTGCTACGGGCCCCTCAGACCGTGACTGCATTTGACCCATGTTTGGCCTGTAACCCTGTCAGATCCAAGATGGCGGCGGTCAGCACCATTGCCGCCGCCTCTGGGCTCTTATGGTGTCTCCTTTTTGAGAACTGCAGAACTGTGTGAACGCGAAACACAGACTCTGTTTATGATATTACTGTATCTGTATCTAACTGTGAGGAAACTGTCACCTGCAAGAGCCAAGATGGTGGACTCCGTGTTAGCTGCAGCACACAGTAGCAGAAGAAGAGCTAGATGTTCTGTCCCCTCTCTCTCATACACACACATCTCTCTCTCTCTCTAGTCTCTCTTTCTCTCACACATCTCTCTCTCTGGTCTCTTTCTCTCTCTCACACTGTCTCTCTCCCACACATCTCTCTCTGGTCTCTCACCTCTCTCGCTCACACATCTTTATCCCTCACTCTGGTTGCTTTCTCTCTCTGGTCTCTCTCTCTCTCACACACATCCCTCTCTCTAGTCTCTCTCTCTCCCACACATCTCTCTCTCTGGTCTCTCTCTCTCTCTCACACTGTCTCTCTCCCACACATCTCTTTCTCTGGTCTCTCTCTCTCTCTCACACACACTGTCTCTCTCATACACATATCTCTCTCTGGTCTCTCTCTCCCACACATCTCTCCCTCTAGTCTCTCTCACACACATCTCTCTCTCTGGTCTCTCTCTCACACACTGTCTCTCTCACTCTGGTCTCTCACTCTGGTCTCTCTCTCTGGTCTCTCTCTCTGGTCTCTCTCTCTGGTCTCTCTCTCTCTCACACATCTCTCCCTCTAGTCTCTCTCACACACATCTCTCTCTCTGGTCTCTCTCTCTCACACACTGTCTCTCTCACTCTGGTCTCTCTCTCTGGTCTCTCTCTCTCTCTCACACACACTGTCTCTCTCATACACGTATCTCTCTCTGGTCTCTCTCTCCCACACATCTCTCTCTCTGGTCTCTCTCTCTCTCACACACACACTGTCTCTCTCATACACGTATCTCTCTCTGGTCTCTCTCTCCCACACATCTCTCCCTCTAGTCTCTCTCACACACATCTCTCTCTCTTGTCTCTCTCTCACACACTGTCTCTCTCACTCTGGTCTCTCACTCTGGTCTCTCTCTCTGGTCTCTCTCTCTGGTCTCTCTCTCTCTCACACACATCTCTCCCTCTAGTCTCTCTCACACACATCTCTCTCTCTGGTCTCTCTCTCTCACACACTGTCTCTCTCACTCTGGTCTCTCTCTCTGGTCTCTCTCTCTCTGGTCTCTCTCACACACACACTGTCTCTCTCATACACGTATCTCTCTCTGGTCTCTCTCTCCCACACATCTCTCTCTCTGGTCTCTCTCTCTCTCACACACACACTGTCTCTCTCATACACGTATCTCTCTCTGGTCTCTCTCTCCCACACATCTCTCCCTCTAGTCTCTCTCACACACATCTCTCTCTCTGGTCTCTCTCTCACACACTGTCTCTCTCACTCTGGTCTCTCACTCTGGTCTCTCTCTCTGGTCTCTCTCTCTCTCACACACATCTCTCCCTCTAGTCTCTCTCACACACATCTCTCTCTCTGGTCTCTCTCTCTCACACACTGTCTCTCTCACTCTGGTCTCTCTCTCTGGTCTCTCTCTCTGGTCTCTCTCTCTGGTCTCTCACCTCTCTCGCTCACACTGTCGATCTCCTCGCAGCTGCTGTACTCTGGTGTACTTCCTCCTTCGTCCTCAGAGCTGCTCATACTCGTTTGCCTCTTTCCTCCTCGTTTGGCCTTATATGGGCGTGGCGGGGGCGGCCTGAGTGATTCTGATTGATCGGAGCTGAGCGAATCGTTGCGCAGCATGCTTTCAGCCTTCTCTCGTTTGGAACGCCGGACCGCGGGACCGTGGCGGGCTTCTCGTAGCTCCGGGTTGGACTGCAGCGTGACTCTGCCCCCGTGTCCGCTCGGCCCCACGCCAGGCCCTGATTGGTCGGCGCTGCGCTTGAGCCCGCCCCCTCCCACCGGGTCGTGCTCCAGCGATCGTCCTTTGGTGAGTTTCCTGCTGTCTCTGCGATCTCTGCGCAAGTCTCTGTCCACAGACACCTGAGAGTGAAGCACACGGGGGGCGCGGCCGTTCCTCCTGCAACAAACACATGAGAATCAGAATAATACTAATACTAATAGTAATACTAATATTAATAATAATAATACAAATAATACTAATAATAATAATAAAAATAATAAAAATCAATAATAATAATAACAATAACAATACATATGCACAGGTTTTATACAGCACTGTTTTGGACCCTCAGTCTCTTTACATGTCATTATTTATTCTCTCCAAACACAGTAGTGATAAACGATTACTGTAGCCACAGCTGCCCTGGGGCACACTGACAGAAGCGAGGCAAGCATTCTGTGCCATCAGCCCTCCCACCACCACAAACCATTCACGCACACACCAGACTCATTCTAGTCTGGGTGAAGTGTCTTGCCACAGTTTGGCCCTTTACAGCCGCAGCCGCCCCACTGTGGCACCAGGTGTTCCCAGAGGTCTCCCATCACATTACAAACAGGCCCTGTCTTGCTTAGGACTGTGAACATGTGAAACGTACGGATCTGTGGGCGGTTCGCTCCGGGACCGCGGGTCGAACACGGCGCCCCCCGGTGGAGTCGCTCTGCTGGGGTCCAGGGAGGCGGGGGCGGAGCCTGGAGCCGTGTGGGCGGAGCCAGCAGGGGCCTGGGACCGGGACCTCTGACAGACGGACGGTTCGCTCACCGCGGAGCCCAGACCTGCAGATTCAGAGAGGAACCAGTCTCCCGGCCGCGTGAGGAGGTCCTGCTGCTTCCGGCAGTTATTACACACCCAGATCACCTGCAGACACACACGTTATACTGTAGTAACACACAAACCTTACACTTTAATAACTCCAGAGCAGATATTGTCTCACTTAAAGCTGAGGTACGTGACTTTCGAACCATGTCGCTAGAACAGATTGGTTCCTGGCTCTAAAACCATTTGCTTCTGTCACTAGTTTTCACATTCATTATGGCCTCTGTCACATGGTTTTTCAGACATAAAAGAAGACCAGACAGAGAGAGACCAGCAACAGAAACCATAAAGAGACCAGAGAGAGTCCAGTAAGAGACCAGAAAGTGACCAAAGAGCAACCAGAGAGACACCAGAGAGAGACACCAGAGCGAGGAGAGAGAGACCAGCAACAGAAACCATAAAGAGACCAGAGAGAGACAAGAGGGAGACCAGAGGGAGACCAGAGAGACTAGAAATAGACCAGCAACAGAGACCAGAGAGAGACCAGAGAGAGACCAGAGAGAGACCAGAGAGAGACCAGAGAGAGACCAGAGGGAGACCAGAGAGACTAGAGAGAGACCAGCAACAGAGACCAGAGAGCTCTCAGCCCAAAGTATCAAATAATGACTCACAGAGCACACTTTCTAACAAGATAAACCATTTAATTTTACCAGACTCTTTCTGTTGGAACAAACTAGATGTATTTAAAAGTGAGGTACATTAGCTTTAAATACACTTATTTTACCAACTGTACAGAAAAAGAGAAAAATGGCTCAGAGTCAGAGAAATATTAGAGTGGACCCATATCTAAGTTTTAGCACTTTACCTGAAATTAAAAGGCAAAAATAGCTCTTAATAATGGGTTTTTCTCTCATGGCTGCGTTTAAAATGGTCAGAAACAGCTTCAAAAACAACACAATATTCATTTAGATCCACGAGGCACCAATAGAACGGGGCACTAAAGCACAGATTGTAATTCTGCAGTGTATTTGTGGAACGTCCTTGTGCTGCTCCACACTTCTGAGCGTACCTCTCCTCGCGTCCTTCTGTCCCTGTTTTTCCTGCTTTGTTTCTTTTCTTTGATTAAAGCCACAAAAGCCTCAGAGATTTCACACCAACGCGTCTAAATATATCCACAACAGCCCTTCCGGAACACAAGGAAAACTCCCCAAACACTCCCAGATCAAATTAGTGCAGCAGCAAAACGCAGGGACGCACAGACGCTTGGACAAATGTTATAATACAGTATACAATGTTTACAATGTAGAGTTTACATTCAACAAGCGACAGGAGAGTATGACCGAGTGTGACATCACCACAGTGTGACATCACCACAGTGTGACATCACCACAGTGTGACATCACCACAGTGTGACATCACCACAGTGTGACATCACCACAGTGTGACATCACCACAGTGTGACATCACCACATTGCGGACAGAGTCACGCCTATCTCCGCCGTTCTAACTAATGGGCCAAAAAATGTGCTCTACTGGAGCTATCCAAAATGGCCGCGAGTGGTCCCGCCCACAAGAAAACTGTGAAAAAACGCATCTGTGCATGCGTCAGCCGGAGCAGCTCCGTTCATTTGAACGAGAGACTTCAAAAATTCACAGCGACTAAACTAGAGTGGTCCAGAACACTCAGCATTGACACACATGTGGAACAGCGCTTTGGGCCAAGAGACAACTTTTGGACCATCCTGTAAAGACGTTTTCGAGAGGTCTGCTAATGCTATATGTTAACATTGGCTAATTCTTATTCCGGGTCCACACCCACAGGCCCGGGGTGGTACTGCAGCATGTCAGCGCACGTCATTTTGGCCACTTTTGAGCTGGGACCCGCCCCCAGTGGGAAACACACACATTACACTGTTCAAACATCACACAACTCTGTCACACATTTATTTTCTTAATATAATATTTATTGTGTGCTTTACCACACGATGCTGACAGACTTATTCAACCGTTATTCTGAACAAAATCCCACACAGAGACATCTCAAAACAACAAAAAGGATGATCTTCTTCCGGGTAGATCTTCAAGATGATTGGTCCTTCTAACTGTCAATCATTCTGGCCATCCTACATTTCAGGAGGCGTTCCCTTTGGAGAGGGCGGTTCTTTCCTGAAATTCCGAGGAAATCCTTCTATATTGTTTTAAACCTGGAGTACCTAACTTTTTGACTTAAAGACCTTATGACGGGTTTTTAAAAAAAAAATAGTGGATATCAAAATTGCATGACAATGTCAATTTGAAAGAGATTCCGGCAAAAAAAATCTTATATTTTATAAAAAGAACGTGTTTTTCATGAATTTAAAGCTGCACTAACTGACTTTATTTTTGTATTCATTACGAAAATGCTATCCATGTCCATGCAGTGCATTGGGATATACGTCCTTTTGAAGAAAAAGTAGCGCAGATTTGGGCTGGCGTGACATTATATTTTAGATCGAGTTTTGATAAAACAAGGAAGAGAATGTGTTTCGGGTCGCAGATTGTGACCAATCACAGCGGACCACTGACCCCCACTTTCGTGAGAAATCTACAGGTCCGTTAGCATAGACGGCTGAGTTAGCACAACAAGTGGCGGAGCTAACCTGAAGCTTCCTCGTCTTCGTCACCGGTTTCTGCTTACACAGCAAGACAGCCATCCAAAAGAAAGTCTCGTTCCTCCGCGCTTCCCGGTTCTATCGTTCTATGGTCACGCCATCCACGTGCAAATCCATATCCATGTATTTATCCATATTGGGAGACACTAGCTCCGTCCCAACAGTGAGTGTGTGTGGGGGGCGATAGCTTCGTAGGTGCGGGGAGGGGAGGAGAAAGAGAGAGGCCAGCGAGTCTGCGGCTTCAAAATCCCAAAGTCAGTTAGTGCAGCTTTAAGTTGTCTATGCTCTAACCTGTGTGTGACGTCACAGCGGGTTACGCCCATGCATTGAAAACCATGGATCTATGCCACAGGACTGCCTTTTCTCTCTTCTCTCCACTGATGCCCAACACAATACTGCCCTCTACAGGTGACAATTGCTCACTACACATAAATTGCCGTTTTGAGTTTGAAAAAGTGTCTGAGGTGGGAATTGAACCCCAGTCTCTGGATTGGCAGTCTGTCGACACAACCACTGGACTATCTCAGTGACAACGAAATGTTACATTCTAGTAGGTATATTCAGGGCTGGACTGGCCATCGGGCGTACCGGGCAATGCCCATATTTGGGCCGGTCTGTTTGCCTCATACAAAAAACATGTTTGTGAAAAGTGTAAATCCGTTGAGAAATGTTTGAGGGGAGCGCGCGTGTCCGCGGGGCACCTGCTGTATGTACTCGAACGGGATTCCACCACCTCAGCGGCCGCAGTGTTCCTGCATCCAGCGGCTCTGAGCTGGACGCAGGAACCGCTCACAACACAACACGGTGAGCGCGTAGCCGCAACGTGACCATACCCAAGACCATAAACGCGCACAGGACCATGCGTGTCTTTTCGTAATTTGTGCACCCAATAAATACACCGCTGCAGGAAACAGTCCGCGTCTCCCCTCTCCTCTAAATTAAAGCTCAGGTACCTAAATTTTCCATTGCATTAAAAGTTCATGTTTGAGCCCAAAAGTAAAATGTTGTGAACAGATTAAAGGAATAGTTCACCGTTTTTACATACTGACAAATGTTCTTACCTTACCTTAGACTAGTTAATACGTACCTGTCTGGTCTTAGTCCGTGCGCTCTGTCATGCAAACGGAGCAAAAACGGGAGCACAACCGCAGCCTCCTTTGTATATTTTGTAGCACCAAAAGGTAGCTCCCGCTAGAAGCTACCAAACTCTTCCAAGTGTTCCCTATTAAATGTATATAGTTACGTGACGTGTTACACTGCAAAGTATAGTAACACAGAAATGTAACAGTCGATTTTCTCAGCGGATAAAACGGGTACTATATTGTGAGGCGTAGTAATCTGAGGGGCGCTACGTCCGCGCACTAACTTCTCTCCGGAGACTTCTCTCTCGCTGCTACTGTGTGTATTACAAGTCACGCTGCTTCTATTGACGGAAGAGTTTGGTAGCTTCTAGCGGGAGCTACCTTTTGGTGCTACAAAATATACAAAGGAGGCTGCGGTTGTGCTCCCGTTTTTGCTCCGTTTGCATGACAGAGCGCACGGACTAAGACCAGACAGGTACGTATTAACTAGTCTAAGGTAAGGTAAGAACATATGTCAGTATGTAAAAACGGTGAACTATTCCTTTAAACAGATTTAGAGCCAGCAAATGGCTGAAAATATGCATTTCAGACATTTTTGACCAATTCTCATCCCTGTAACAAACAATAGTGTTGTCTGTGTCCACCTCCCTCACTCTGAGACATGTTTATTACTCTGTTTAATGTAGACTATTGTACTGTATTTTATTGTTGAAACTGCAGACATCCTGATCCTCTACAGTATTTGCTTCCACATACTGTATAAACCGGGTCAACCTTTAGTGCCCCTAAAGTGGCTCCTGGAGCCTTTTCAAAAATGTCTGAAAATGGAGTGTGAGGGCTATATTTTATTTCTAGTTTCAATGTGGTTTCTGTAGGAGGAAAAACATGTTTAACGTTTTTAAATGCTGCAAAAACTTGTATAAGTAATATTCAATTTTAGCATTTCTGTCCACGTAGTGCGTCATATCCTGTGACGCGGCCCGTGCCAGGCGGCCGCTGCTGTAAACAAACCGGCGTGTGCGCATTATAGACTGTGCGCATGGATCCCAAAGATAAAGAGAGAGAGTCGATAAGACTGGAGTAAGAATGAGAATGAACATTTGCTTTCAGTCAATGAGGAAGGACTGCTTCATGTTTGCGATGTAATGAAAAGTTTTGTTGCAACAGGAGGAACAATGAAGCTTTAAACACTGTTCACTGAAAGATTCATTCATCATAAAGTCAGAGAACCTATTTTCAGACTTCAAAAACCTTCGCAAAGACGGTGAAAGAAAAGGCCATTAAGGACATTCAGCTCCAGAAAACTTCAGCCTGTGACGTGATTGATATGAACAGACAGTGATACAGGTGAACTGAGCCAAAAAGCAGA